GAGAGGATATAACAGCGCAAGTGGAGTATATATTCTCGTTACAACCAAAAGAGTAGCTAACCAACCTAAAAAAGAGAGTAGCCACGAAACAAAGGGAAGATGAGATCATGAAGACCGAGAGCTTGCTCTAACATATCCCCCCTAAACTTGACACGCACTCATCTCCACGACGCATTTCTGTGAACCGAACACTCCCAGGTGATTTTGTCAAGACATCTACTCCCTCCGTTCCGAATTATTTGTCTTGGATTTGTCTAGATACGGATGTATCTAGACTCATTTTAGTGCTAGATACATCCATATCTAGACAAATCTAAGACAAGTATTTCGAAACGGAGGGAGTATCTGCCAGTTAGGAGGAGCCGAAGCACTCATCTCCCAGATAAACACGCCGATAGCTGAGGTAGTCCTTGAAGTACACGCAAAGTCTTCGGTAGAGTCCATCTTGATCATGCCGGGTTCGAGGCTTCCGCAGTCTTCCCTTGTGATATCGGTGGGCCGTAAGCTCGTCCCATAGACTGTGAGTCAACTAGGTTGATACCCCTTAGTTCAGGACATCGTCATCATGAAAACTGGGCAAGCGGAGGTCTAAATTATCAGCTAACGGATGACCGAGGACTCGGATCTTAAAACTAACTCCGCTGGCTCGTTGTCGGCACACCCTTCTAGGGACAAACTCGTCGGAACTTCGAGCCAGCAAGCGGCTGGGATTGAATTTTTGCTCCCACCCACCGCACACCGAATATTGCCCGAGTAATTCAGGTTCTCCCAATGTCTGGCACCTAATCTACATAAACCAGCAAGCTGGTGAGACAGGTCGACAATTCTGAACAACATTTGTTGGGGATATATAACTATTGGTATGACCCGCCTAGGAGGGGCCGGGTTATACTTACAAATATTCTTGAAGCCCAAGACCCAAGATAGAGATGGCGGTTCAGTTAAGGGCTCAAGCCCAGTGGCGACTTAAGGCCCGTAGTGATAAATCGTCATGTATGTATGACTTATGTTGTAAGGAAAGAATAGTTAAGAGACCGAGCCGAACACTGTTTATGAGCCGGCCGGGACTCTTTAGAGCCGCTGGGCGTCGACCTTTGTATATAAAGGGACGACCCGGCGGCAATTCAGGACAAGTAACATCAACTCGACAGCTAGGTCAAGCGATTCGCTCCCTGGTTATCGAGACATAAGCAATCCCACTCAAAACTGGATCGTAGGCTTTTACTTTCACCGTAAGGGGCCGAACCAGTATAACCCTCGTGTCCTTTGTCCCGATAAACCCCTTTAAGCTTCCTAGTTGCGATGGTCTCACGACTAAGTCCTTTCACAAGGACATCTGTCGTGACAATTCCACGACAGTTGGCGCCCACCATGGGGCCAGCGCACGGTGGATTTGAGTTCTCGAAGGGCAGCTTCGAAGGGCTCAAGGGATACGTTGTGGGCCGGATGACCAAGAGTCGTCGCGGCAAGCTCTACATCGACAACGTAGGCTGGGGCCCCGATGCCAGCTCAATTGAGTACGGGTACCGGGTCCCCTTCGGCGGAATTCACGTCTTCATCGGCAAGATCGGTTAGCCGGGCCCTGAGTCGGACATTTGCACCGACATCGTCAGAGACGGCTCAGCGTGCGAAACCCGCCCGGGCTCTGCCTGCGGTGAAGCGTGCCTTCGTGGGATACATCTGACGGTGAGACAACCATCTACTCTGATGGCGAGTCATCCACAGGTGAGACAGATTCATTGTATCAACTACAAGATGGCGGGCTTGGGGGTTGTTCTGATGGCAGCAGTATTCCGGATTGCCTCGAGCCGCCGAGCAGGGTCGGAATCTTCATGGCCGGCACACAACCGGAACCACATGTGTTACGCAAGTTTTCTTCTTATCTTGGATGTTGATTTTATAAGCCAACGGTCTAATTAATTGTGATGATGTGGATTAATTAGAATACTCGAAAGGCGCCTCCAATTAGTAAATGTAAGATGCACAAGTATGATAATAGTGTTTCCTAGTTGGTGCTTTATAAGAGAAGATGGAGACTCAATAAAAATAAAAATTGCATAAAAATAAATAGATAGGCCCTTCACAGAGGGAGGCGGAGATTTGTAGAGGTGCCAGAGCTCATAGGTTAAACTGAGAGATAAAATTGTTTTGAGAGGCATGTTTTTCCTGTCAATGAAAACGACCGGAATTCCCAACATCTTCCATACTAGATAAATCATAAGCGGTTCCCAAACATAAAATAAAGTTTATTTTCTTCACTATTCTTTCACAATCCATGACTATCCCTATCCACGGGTACTTTCCATACCAACACTTGCCAAAATTATATATATATATATATATATATATATATATATATATATATATATATATATATATATATATAATTTCATCACGATGAAACCAAATGCATAGGATAAAATTTCTAGCTTTAACCGGTTCCAATCCCATGCCCCAGTATCATCCAATATAATATTTTTAAGTATTAGCAGTTGAGTTATCAATTCAACCACATCTAAAGAACTAAATATTTGTAGCAAAGTGTTTAGTATCACAGTAGTATGATAGTTTGATAGCAGTAGTAACAGTAGCAATAGTAACATTATCAGTTAGTGATTATAACAGCAGCAACAACAAAAGTAACTTAGCAAAGATCAATATATGAAACACGTAAGCATTGGATCAGTGATGAATAATTGTGTTGGATAACATTCATCATGTAACAGTCACAACCTAGAGCGATACACAATGACTCCAATTCATGAATCTAATGTAGGCATGTATTCCGTATATATGATAAGAACTTGCATGGCATCTTTTGTCCTACCCCCGTGGCAGCGGGGTCCTTAAGAAAACTAAGGGATATTAAGACCTCCTTTTAATAGAGAACAGAAATAAAGCATTAACACATAATGAATATACGAACTCCTCGAATTACAGTCAACCCCGGAGAGTATCCCAAACAATTGTCACTATGGGTCTACGGATCAGAATAATAATAAGTGCATATAACTAGCAGATAGGATGAAAAAATCAAATATATTCATGAAAACATAAAGGGCTCAGATCTAAAATCATGACACTTGGGGCCTAGTGACAAGCATTAAGCATAAAAAAGTCATAGCAAAATCAATCTCAGAACATGTGGATACTACAGATCAAGTCCTAACAAATTGACTCGATTACATGATAAAGCTCATCCAACTCCATCATTGTCTAGCAAGCCTACGAAGGAATTGATCCCCCCGATGGTGAGCATCATGGAATTGGCAATGAAGAAGGGTTGACGATGATGATAGCGACGAATCCCCTCTTAGGAGCCCCGGATGGACTCCAGATCAACCACCCCGATGAAGAACAGGAGGTGGCGACGACTTCGTATCGTAAAATGCGATGCAACTTCTTCTCTTATATTTTTCTCGAGGAAAAGGAATTTATAGGCTTGAGATTAGGGTTAGCAGAGCCACGTGGGCCCCACAAGGTAACATGGCGCGCCTAAGGAGGGTGGTCGTGCCCTGTTGCCTTGTGGGCAACTGGTGGCCCCCCTCAAGTGGATCTTCGCTCCAGTTTTTTTTATATATTCCATAAAAATCTTTGAAAAGTTTGGTATGATTCCAAGAACTTTTATTTCCGCGCAAAAATAACACCATGATAGTTCTGCTGAAAACAACGTCAGTTCAGGTTAGTTTCATTCAAATCATGCAAATTAGAGTTAAAAAATAAGAGAAAAATTGTTTGGAAAAGTAGATACGACATAGACATATCACTGTCATTCTCCTCCTCATTTTGATGGCAGTCCGGTCATGGCAGGGACCGCCCGATTCTGCTCTCGGGCAAGGGTACGTGTGTTCCTCCGCTACCTCACAATGCAGGCGTGGATGGCTTTGTCCTCTGTGGCCGCCCGCGCCGCCGCATCAGTCGGGCCTCGGCGGCCCTTATCTTCTCCTTCCCACGGCGAGCACACGGTCCTGATGGGACTCATACTCCGCCTGACTAGTGATGGGGAAGGATAGATTTGAAGGTTGTAGGGACCGCGATGATCTAGCCCCGAGGATTCGAGTGGTCGTTGAGCCTACGCTAAGGAGTCGCACCGGACAGGTCCTGCCGTCGGTCGGGGCGCTGTGTCGTGCTCCCGGGAGCGGCGGAGTGCAATGCAGATGGCCATTGCCTCCTCCAACCCGCACGTCCCAGCCGATGAATCCGGAGTGGTCGGAGTCAGATCCGCTGCCCGCCATATCGGAGACGGCCGAAGATGAGCTTGGGCGACGGAGGGGAGTGGATTTGGTTTGGACCTAGTTTTGTATCCTCCGGCTCATATTATATTTGGGCTGGACATAAGAAATGGGCCTCAAAAGGAAGGAAGGGAGATGCTTTTAAGGGGAGGAATTATGTATGTATCTATCTCCGGCTCCCTCCCCGCTTTCCTTCCTAATCCTAATCGTAGCTAGGGTTCCTCCCCGCATCCGTCGCCTCCTCTCCTCACCCCGCCGCCGCCGGCCAACGAGATCCAGCCAGCGAGATCCGACCGACGCCGTCTCCGTCTCCGTCTCCGCCTCGCCGCCGCCGCCTGGTAAGCTCAAGCTCCTCGCCGCCTTCCTTGTTCAGAGAGGAGAGGAGAGGAGAGGAGAGGAGATGGATCCGCTCGCTCGCTCCCAATCGCTCGCTCCCAATCGCTCGGTTGGTTGTTGCTGTTCGGTTCGATGCCAAACTAGTAACTAGTACTAGTATAGATCTGAAACTAATAATTTATTTTTATTTTATTTTGATTTGATTTATTAATGGATTCAAACAACTCTTTCACAATATTTATATGCAGATTAGATTTGATTTTATTTACAGATAGATAGATAGATAGATAGATAGATAGATATAGTAGCTCATGTATGTATGTTTTCCCACCATAATATGCTGCTGCTGCTTTTATTATATTACATCCATCTATCTATCTATCTATCTAAGATTTGCTCCCTCCTGTTATGTCATACTGCTTGCTATCTAGTATATCTTCTCGTGCTCTGCTCTGGTCTGTTCATGTGCTTACACCTTATTCTGTTTGATTTCAGCTTCGGCATGTCGCATTCCAACCAAGTAAGGTCGGTACAGTTCCTTTCATTTCTCCCCTAACAAAGAATCACATCTCCGCTACGGCCATGCCATCAAAAGATGTTCCAGTTTATCTCTTTGGTTTGCTGCTCTATTCTTGTCCACACTGTAAAATCTGGAGAAACCCTGCCTTTGTTGTTTTCAGGTACACCGCGCGCTCCATCACGCCCCCCGCCGACAGGGACAGCGGCTCCAAGTCGCCCCCACCACGGAGGCGCGCCGCTTCCAAGTCGCCTCCCCTGCCTCCCCCTCCACCTTTCCCTCCCAAGGGGGTGCGCACCATCTCGAGGTCGCCTCCACCTAGTAGTACAAGACGCAGCGTCTCGAGGTCCCCTCCGCCAAAGAGGCGCGGCAGGTCAAGGTCCAGGTCCAGGTCCAGGTCCAGGAACAGGAGCCGCTCCAGGCAAGTCATCATCGGTTTGATGTTTGTTTCTTTGTACCATTACCATATAATAGACCATCCATGTTTATCTGTCATTTTGCTAGTGATGATGGATAATCCTGCTGCTTCTTCTGATGATGTATTACAGTTATGTATGTATATAGCTCGTCAAAAACAATAGTTGCTTAATGATGTACATCATCGCAAAGATACTGATATTGACATCGCTTCTCTTCTCTTCTCTTCTCCTAATAATATGTATGTTTCAGGAGCAAAGATAAAGACGATGTGAGGAATCCTGGCAACAACCTCTATGTCACTGGACTGTCCACACGGACGCAGGAAACTGACCTGGAGAAGTTCTTCAGCAAAGAGGGCAAGGTACCCTTACTCTCTCTGCGCTCTGCTTTCTCCTTTCATGCCTGATGATGTCTGCGACGATGCTTCTCCTTTTATCTGGGATGGGGCTGCTTGTTCATTGCGTGAATCTTATGTCACTAAACCTGACGCACGATGCGGCAAAACTGCAGGTTAAAGACTGCCGTGTCGTTATCGATCCTCGTACGAAAGAATCGCGTGGCTTTGCGTTCGTGACCATGGAGAATGTTGAGGATGCAAGGCGCTGCATCAAGTACCTGCACCGTACTGTACTTGAAGGCCGCCTCATCAGTGTGGCAAAGGTATAAACAAACTTCTCTGCGTGTAACAACCTTGATGCTAACTTGTGTCACACAACCATCTTCTTCTTTGCATTTGCATATGCGTTTAAGGTAGTTCCTGTTACCAGGTAGTCATAGCTTTCTGGGCCAACTTTATCTGGACTAAGCCACACATCCTAGGACGCAGTTTACAAGTTAAGAGCTCAGTAGTTCCATACCAGAACGAGCCCATTACAGGCCTTCCTTTTATGCTGCTTTCTAGTCAACTAAATATATCTTGATCTCTAACATCTTCTTCTATACATATGAAAACCTTGACCAATATGGTTATAAACCACAAATTGATTCTTAGAAACACTGATGTGAAAACTGAAAACTATCATGTTCTTTCCATATCCACTTCAGCAGTAAGGTAGTTCTTGTTACATGATGATCTTGACTTGCATTTTTTACCTTTTCTACTGCCAACTTTTTGGTTCAACTTTTATCTGGGAATAAGCCACAAATCCTAGGACACAGCTTACAAGTTACGGACTATTGATTTCAATACCATAATGAGGCCATTACAGACCTTTCTTGTGTCGCATCTAGTCTAAAACACAGTATGTCTTGGGACATATTGTTTTGTAAATATCAAAACCCTGACCAGTTTTGTATCTAACATCTTGTTCCAACTTTTAAGTGTCCCTGAAAATCAGCCAGAGTATTGAGTAGTTCTTAGAAACACTGATTTATTTGGGTTCATTGCTATCCATATATATATTGGGGTGTCCTGAATAATTTGATTCATCAGGAGAGAATTGTTTGGTTATGCTCGTTAACATTTTCAGTGCAGGAAATAAGAAAGTACCTTGTTTTCTGTGTTCCTTTGCTTTTTTTTTGTGCTGATTTCCACGACCATGCAGCTTCCACACTGCTGGGCTAGCATTAATTCTAGTCAGTGTTCTGTGTAGAATTATTGAACTAAATGCTGGCTGCACCCACCTGTTGGTTTGTACAACCTCTTCTTCAACCTTACAATCTGTTGCCTCTCGAATCTCCATCACCCTCACGAACATCACCATCACGCTCGTGATCATCGCCTACTACGCTGTCTGCACCGACTTCGAGTGAGAGCACGGCTCGGAACGCTGCACTGCTACGCGTCACCACCGACCGACCGAGCACCTCATTCTGGGGACCTTGGAGTGAGAGCGCGGCTCTCGAGGCTGCACTGCTACGCGTCACCACCAACCGACCGAGCACCTCAAGTCATTCTGGCGATCTTCGAGTGAGA